TATTGTGAGTCACAACTAGGTCTGAAATCAGTTGAGCTGTATACATAAAAACAGGTGCCCTGGGTTCAATGTTATACTGTTGGTACTGTACCGTAATGTTATCTCGCAGTCCAGCGACTTTCATGCTTTTCTGGTCAGCACAAGTTTCATAGCCTCTCTCGCGTTTTCCACGAGGTAAGAATGGTGAATTGTTGATCAACACCGCCCTCTGGAGCAATTAGAGCAAAATCGCAGGGGCGATTAAATGAACTAATTCTAGAGTGACATCATCAGGCCATTATACTCCACACCTCATAACCGGAGAGAGAGGTAGAACAACATATAGCACTTGCAGTATTTTAGTTTCACCCGCTTTGCCTTTTCTATTATACAACTTTTCTTTTTGCTTTTGCCTGTTGACGTAAAGTTAATTCTAGATACTCTGAGGAGATGAAAAAGCTTTGCCGAAACCCGGGATCGAACCAGGGACCTTTAGATCTTCAGTCTAACGCTCTCCCAACTGAGCTATTTCGGCTTGTAATATAGCGGATTTTTGCATTGGAATTTAGGCAGTTACTCTAAACATGATTTGTTTAATATAACTAGTCCACGAGTATTTATTTTTGCTTTAATACAACAAGCACCCGACTAATGACTGAAGGGTGATTATTGAAGGAACTATGATTGATTAAAATATGGTTGAATGTCGTTTTGCTTCTTAATGAATTCGCACAAGAAAAGTACTAGCATTTTTGCAAGGGTTAATATAGTAAAATAAGGTCATTATGAACAAGGAAAACCTAGAGAAAGAGTAAATAAATTAATAAATTACACGAAAACGAAGAGGTCATAACGTTTACGTACTGAATCTACGAGAAATACACGGGAATGTGTACTTGCCTCCTGATTCAGTCAACATGGGATCATGGGATTCAGCTTTCTGCTAGTTATTACGCCCACACGAATCTCTCTCTCTCTCTTCCTGTCCTCCAAGGTGACTTTCCCCTTGCCCAGGCAGTTCTTCTTTGTTCTTATGTAAGTCTACAGAAGAGAGAACTGAAGACAGAACGAAGGGAGAGAAAGCTAGGCACAGTCAGTGATAAAAAGAAGATGATGACTGGAACAGACGAGATTAAAAAAGATGCATGTGTGAGAGAGAGAATTGTGAGAGAGGACGCGAGAAAGAGCTGTTAATGAATACACGGCAGTGTTTTAATGTTGCATACAGTAAGAAAAAATATTTCCCACCCACCTTCTCTCTTTCTCTCCTTGCTCACGAAGGCTCACAAACAGAAGGCATCCATACTAATCAGCATACTTGAGTTTTCAAAATTAAAAGAGGGAGAGTGTCAGACAGAAACAAGGAGGGAGATGGGGATAATATGCTGATTATGCTACTTAATATGTAATATGTAAATTTGATTAAGTACATTAATTTTCCTCATTTGGAAATAAATGAACAATTCCAAATAGGTCATTTGAATGCACCCATAATAATGGCCTCAATTCGATGTTTGTATAGGCATGTTCATGTGCAAATTAGAAAATTTGCTTAATAAAATAAAATAGCTGTGACTATGCTCATTTAGCATATTTAGCATAGCCTCTCATACATTAGTGTCAAAAGTATGTATGAGCACTTACCAAACAATACTATGGTATTTTTGAAGTACCTTGGAATAAAGTGTAGCCTACACTACTATTCGACAGTTTGAGGTCAGTAAATTATTTATTTATTTTTAAACGTGACATTAAAGACTTTTACAAGAAAAAAAAATGCTATTCTTTTGAAATATTTATTAATCAAATGCTGAAAAAAAAACGGGTATCATGGTTTCCAAAAAACATCAAGCAGCACAATGGTTTTCAACTGTAAAAATAATAAGACAGCAAATCAGCATATTAGAATGATTTCTGAAGGGTCATGTGGCACTGAAGACTGAAATAGTGTCTTTGTCATAACAGGAATAATTTACATTTTAAAATATATTGCAATGGAAAACAGTTATTTTAAGCTGTAATAATATTTCAGAACATTACTGTTTTTACTGTATTATTGATCAAATAAGTGCAGCCTTGGCTTTCAAAAACTTTAAAAAATCTTACTGACCCCAAACTATTGAATGGTAGTGTGTATACATGTATGAATATGGTTATCATTCAAAACCTCACTGCTCCACAGTACCGTGGTACTATCACAATATTTTTTAAGTAAACCTTACACACTGAAAGTTTTAGATAGCAGCAAATCACACAATATGTCCACTAAATCAATATTATAAAAGCACACATTACAATTTATTATTTGCGGTGGTAGGGGGATGTGAAATAATTGTAATTCAATTATGGAAAAGTAGAAGCAAGGTGTTATTGACCTGCATTAACCTGTGTGGTCAAAGTTTTTTACATGTCCATTAAGACAGGCATCCACATCTGTGTGCAGGACCCCGTCCCCTTTATCGGCCCTCCAATTATTAGGCTCCTGCAAATGTCAGCATGTGTCATCAAACATTAATAAGTGTTAATACGATCAGACTTCACAAGTAAAGTGCAGCTTCTGTCACCGATAATGAGGAATGAATGTCTCCCATTCTCTACACACATATTGGCCGAACCGCAACCAAGTCTTGAAAGATTAATAACATTTAAGGTCTCTGAATCAGGCAGAGAGACTTTGAAAGGCTACCATTTCACTGATTGAACAGGTACTTCATTGAGTATCCCTCAAATGGCATTTGATCTTCTGTGTGAGACTGCAAACACTGACAGAGACACAGGAGGTTCTTAATTGCCTGTTTGACTTTTATCAACTGGGATGAAGTCAGTCAACCTTTCTCAGCATGGACTAATTGTAAATATTAAAGCAGTCTGCACTTCTTAATAAATTCACATAATTAAATGACATTACCATACACCAAGTAACTATCAGAGCAAGTGGCTCAGACTGATATTAATCAAGAACAGCCATTTTTAATCAGGCTGAATCAAAATATACAGATTAGTTTTTACGTATTCACACTGCCCTAACAAACAGAGAAAACCCAGAGTGGAGTCAGAACGGTGTGATTTCAAAACGGTTTGATTTCACTTGCGTTAAAACGATTTTCATTGGCAGAGAAAAAAATTACACAAACCGGCCAAATTTGAAAATATGAAATGCAAGTTATATTAACTTCAGTATATTGTATGTATATTGTATAAATGTAACACATCTGCCATTATAAAAAATACATTACATTTTATATGTTTTTCTGTCAGAGGTATGAATTTTGACAGCTGAGGTTGGGAACAAACAAAGCAAACAAGCAAAGAGGCTGAATCTTTTTATTACTGTAATTCAGACTTATTGCTTCTCTATTATATAAATTAATACAATAACCATCTCAATCTGAAATAATTTACAGCACTGACAAGATATACATACAGTATATGGGACACAAATAAAATAAATTAATTTCGAATTTGTAAAAGTTGTTTTGTCAGTATTTTTAGAAACTGATCGAACCAGTACGCATGCCCTTGGTAGAGCAGAGTTCAAATTGGCTGCAGTTTCAAACCACAGAAATATTAGTGACTATTTACATCCCTGATCATATACATTAATAAGCACAATGATATATCTGTTGCCCTCTAGACTATCAGTGAGAAGGACACTGTAAAATATGTGCACATGTATGTGTACTGGTGGATAGACGGTTACTTTTTACACCACACAATGAATGCCAATAAGTTGGTATTAATTTATATGGATCTCATGCGATGCATAACCTGGATTTGGAATTTATTGCACATGGCCTCTGGCAGACTCACACCTGTAGGAATGCTCTCTCAGTCTCGCTCTTTTTCCCTAGCACCATGCATTTGTGCTCTACTGGTTAATTAGACAGTGCCCTGTTGACCTCAGATCCGAGTTCAGTGTGCTTTAGAAACCCTGTGCTGATTAGTTGCCAATGATACAACACACTCGTGGACAATAGAGACCTATCAACGTCTTTTAGTTTGACTTTATAGAGGTGAGAAAGTCACACATATCATCTAACACATTAATGGTTTCCTGCACACACCTTTTACCTACAGTCATAAATAGGCCCAGACGGAATCTGCTGACTTTTTTTCTTTTTCTTTGACATTTTCTGCACAGATTTGAGGGGGAAATCTGAGGAATAGATTTAACCAGGGCCGTAACCACAAGTCCCCTCAATAATTAGATATGGCCAAATTGTCAACCTCAGTATTTGATATCCTTGATGCTGTTCTGCTGCGCTCCATTACCACTCCTCTGTTTGTTGGTAGGATAACAAAAAGTTAAATTTTTAGACTAGTCTGCCTCAGCGGGCTAACAGCGCTTGTCAATGTTCAAATAATTGACATGGCCAATCAAATCAAAGAAGGCTTTATTGTTCACAGAAGATGAGAGCGAATTACAGCACGATGCTTCCGGTTTAGGGGTGAAAGTGTGTGAAGACATAAGTAGCTAAAAAACATATGAACAAGCTAAACAAATAATTTGTTTTATGACAGAAATATTAATTTCATTGTTTTGAATTGAACATGTAGGCTATCATTTACCTGATTCATGTAATTCATAACTGAATGTTGACGAGACAAGAAATATTAACGGAGCTGTTTTCAGGCATATTAGGCAGACAATTTAGCCTAAAGTGTACTTGTGTGTGTTTGCAACACAATCTCATTCGTAATTTATTTAAAAAAGAATTCATAACTATTTTACATTTTGGCTAATTTATATTAATTCATAAATTCCCAACTTTTCTGTCCACATGGACTTGTGTGAGGACAACAGCACATATGCCAAGTGATTTGATATATGCAAGCACTTGAAAAGAATGTGTCTGTCTGTTGCATGCTCAACTGTACCTCAGCCTTAAGTGTATGTGTGCATATTTTAGAATAAAAATATTATTTGCAAATAGTTCAAACTGATTACTTTACAATAAATTCTAGTTCTTTCTTTTTCTTTGTTCCCTTACCAAAGAAAAAAAAAAAGTTTGGTCCCCTCCTCAATGTTCAAAATACGGTTACGGCCTTGGATTTAAACATGGTTAAATATGTTAAATGGATCTGAAAATATTGATATTACCAGCTGAAAGCATAATTAAATCATCCAAAATATTTAATAAACCAAAACACAAGGGAATGACGGATGTACACATAGGAATGCACATTCAGATTCCGTGTGAGCCTAGTTATAAGTCACAGACACACAAACACTCACTCTCTAACAGCCTCCGTCAGGCAGCGGTCAGTAGCATCGCTGCAATCTGCCCTGTGCTTGCGGCGGATCCTGGTAGTGCGAATACGAGTCTGTGCATTTTGCGACTTCAGCCTGCGCAGACGGGTATGCAGAACTTTGCGCAGTTTCTGCCGCGTGAATGCGTACAGCAGCGGATGTAGCACTACTGTCCAATATGCGAGCACCAGGAAGCAGAGTCTCAGGCGTTCTAGCCAATCAGAGGGCCCAATGGCCAGCATGAGAAGGGGCATGATGGAGAGAGGTGCCCAGCATAGCAGAAATGAGAGAATGATGATGACAGACATGCGAAAGACTCGTCTTTGACGTTCCCGCCGATCACGGTGGCGCCGAACCGCTCGACGCAGAGCCAGAATGGCCGATACTGACGCTCCCACACCCATGCTGGGCGGACCTTTGGCGGGAGCGGGGCTTAGCTGAGTGGTTACCGTGGACACAGTGGGCATGGGGCTCAAAGGCATGGTCACTGATGATGTAGCAGGGGTAGGGATGTGGGGGCTAGTTATGACGGACACAGATGTGGCGGGACTCAAAGGCGTGGTTACCATTGAAACAGTGGGGGTGGGGCTTAAGGGCGAGGTTATCACGGATACAGTAGGGGTGGGGCTAAGTGGTGTGGTGAGTGAGGGGGTGTTCGTCTCAGTGTTGATGGTTACTGTTGTAACTGTATCCGAGGCGATAAGCGGCCCGGTAGAAAGCGGCGGTGGGGAGGTGGGTGTGTTTCTCGTCGTGTGATCCGGCGACCTTGTTGACCTTTTACGGCGTAACCAGAGGCGTTGCACAGGCCGCTTGCTGTCTCGATGGGGCCTGGGTGTGCGTCCGATGCGGATGTGCAGTGCCTGAAGAATTCGCGAGTATGTAAACAGCATCACAGCGAGAGAGCACAGGAACACAGGAACCTGTAGTAACAGATGAGCCTGTAGAGATCCCCCCCACTCTGAACAAAGCACAGTGCTATTGGAGTGCACAAACACCCCCTCTCCTTGCCCTGAAACAAACCCCGCCTCCAAGAATGGTAGGAGGGGCACGGCTAAAGAAACTGCCCATACTCCAACAAGTAAAATGGTCGCCCTTCGAGGTGTCAGCAGACGATTGGCTGGCCGGACGCTGATGTCATAGCGATCTAAGCTGATGAGCAGGAGATTAAGTGCAGTGCCCACGCTGGCGAAACTGGCTGCCGATTCGTGGAGACAGCAGAGAAGGGCGTGGTGAGGAACCGAGGCCCCACCCAGGATGAGGAGCGTGGCAGTGATCGGCAGGCAAAGGAGACAGAGCAGCAGGTCAAGGGTGTGCAGGCTGAGTGTGACGGCATGACTGACGGACTCCAACAGGCTGCAGTGACCACAGTATAACACCAGCACGGTGAGATTGCCACCCACCCCCAGGAGCAGCTCCAGCAGCAGCACAGCACTCACTGTAGCCCGGAAGCCGAGCCACGTCCCTTCCTGCTGCGGAAGTCCGGCCCCCACGCTATCTTCAGCCTGTAAGAGGGACAGACCATGGACCCCAGTGAAGCTGCCATCTGTCTCCATGGACACCATCGCCACGTGCCTTCAGGCATAGTAACGCCAGCCACTCCCACTGGCCATGCTCCACCTACTCAGGTGTTTTCTTGGGGCGTTGATGAATGATTGACAGCTCTATGATGGGAAGACAAAAACAGAATGAAACACGTTCTGTTGTTTAATGAACAGGCCAAAATGTACAGTATTTACTGGAGCTGGGCACACTGAGATCCACTGTGACCCCTTTTCCACTGACAAGGTGCCAGATTTTTCTTATGCATTATGTATATCTTTATTAAAAACATGTATTTTTATAAATAATAATAAATATAAAAGACAACATTTAAATACATTTAAAATGACTGATTTGTTTGTATTATTTTAAAATTATTAACATTTAATATCTATCTATCTATCTATCCTGTATATAAAATGTAAAAATAGCATTTAATACACTGTATTTAAAAGCATTTTTTGGTATTTATTTTTAGTGCTTTATTTTTATTTTGACAAAATAATATTAAAATGTAATATCTATATCTATCTATCCATCTGTGTCTGTCTGTCTGTCTGTCTACCTATCTATCTATGCATATAATTTTAAAATGTATATATATTTAAAAATATATATATTATAAAATATATTTGAACATATTTATATATAAATCTTTTTTTTTTATAATAAAAAAACATTTACAGATTTTGATTGTTTTATTTAAAATTTATTTTGATAGTTTCAAAGTTGAATATCTGTCAGTTGAATATCTGGATATTAATACTACTAGTGCATCCCTAGTAGTATCATAGTCAGTTACGTCATAGTCACTCATTCAAGTCAGAGCAAATGCAGGCTGGGACTAAGAGAGATTCACAGATGCAACCAACCAAGCACTGGCATCATTTTGGTGGAATAGGGGTATGACTTGTCCTTCTGAATTGTAATAAGGTATTGATCTAGCAAGGCAGGACAATAAAGATGAGTATGATGTACACAGGAGCGATTGTGTATGTGTGATTCTACAGTCCTGCACACATCCAAATTTTTGTGTCCAACAAGAGAACTACTCCGACAGATGAAGTACAGCACACAACGATCACTCACACAAGACCAAGGACACAAACGATTGCTGAAACCTTGATGAATTTGGCTATGGACATGGTAGTGTATAAGGACTGATTTATCATGTTAAAGAAACGGTTAATGTTCTAATAAACACAAAATCTAAAATACATGCCATCAAAACAAGCAGATCTGAAATTATAGGCTGCGCAATCACAGCAGCCTGTCATTCCAAAAAAAACAAAACATAAATATATAAATAAATAAATGAGTTCGACTTGAGACTGATCCCATTTCTAGGATGGTTGTTACTATGGCAACTGGTCTACAGTTTAAGGGTGGTCAAAATACAAAATTTTAGACTTTTTTCATCTGTGGCTGTTCAAGTGGGGCTCAGACTCTGCCTTTTGAGCACATCTGTGATAATGACCGCAGGAAGACAGTTTTGATGTTTAACACAATGAGAGGGGGAGAGCAATACGGTTGGCATGCCGATGCACCCCATGCCATGCTGGTAATGAAAAGAGGTCACTGCAGTGGAACTTTTAAGTGACAGAGGAAGACATAGATTTAGGGCTCGGATTCTGTAGTACAAATAACTGAAGCTCAACATCTAATGCTCACAGAAGTGAGACTGAGACAAAAATAAGTAAGACTGACTTTTGTCAGAAATGGCAGATCACGGCGTTGCAAGTAAAAAACTAAGGAATAGTGAAAGAGAGAGAAAGGGAGAGAATGAGAGATGAGTGGGAGGTGCAGGTGCACACTGTGTTGTGAAATCGCTGGAGGAGTTTGTTTCTACCTCCTACCCTCTATCCATCATTATGCTATGCTTGAGATCCATCCATCTTTCTTTAGACTAACCATGCTGTCTCAGCTCTTTCTGCCATTTATCAGACTCTATTTCATTATTGTTGTTTTCCAAGCCAATTTGGTCTGTCCACGCTGGTTTGTAGCCTGTTAAAGGAATAATTCACCTGAAAATGAAAATTCTTATTACTTACTCAACCTTATGTTGTTCCAAAACAGAATGTTCTGCGGAACACAAAATATGTTCTTTGTGGAGCTTTCTTTTTTTCCATACAATGACAGATTATAGTGATCCTACGTCAAGCTCCAAAAGCAAAAGAATACTATAAAAATATGTGAATCGTTCGCTATATTCCAAGCATTCGGAAGTCATATGATAACTTTGTATGAATAATTTAAATTTAAACAAAATTAACTTCCCCTCCACTGCAGCTAAGTGTTATTTTAGTACCGAGATACTATTATTATATTTTGAATTAGTTTTTATTTTAGTACTTTCTGTTTTCAAATTAATTTATTCATCAAATTAATCAAGTTTTTTTTTGACATTTTTATTATAGTTTTTTTTATATGTCTATATAGTTTATTAGCTAGTTTTTATTTCAATTTTAGTTATTAGACCATCAATTTAAATCAAAGAAATGTTGCTTTGGCTGCTGAATTTGTTAAATTTTGAAATATATTTTTTTTAAGTGACAAATGTTTTTTTATGGTTTTAGTTCTAGTTTTGGATAATTAATATCTTGTTCTTTATTCTGCATATTAAAATTGCCACATTAAGATGGTCACATGATGATATCAAACCTGTAAAGCCTCATCAAGTTTTTTCCAGATTTCGACTTTGTGTTCCACAGAAAAAAATAACACAGGTTTGAAATGACACGCATGTGAGTAAACAATCACAAAATGTTCCTATTCCTTGTACAAGAAACCACATTCATTTTCAAACCACACATTTATGCAACAAATTGCACATATGCATGTGATAATGAATCTGTTGGTGTGTCTCTGTGGACAAAAGGGCGCTACAGTTGCGTGGAGTCAAAATTGATTTATAATGAGCTATATTAATAGTGGAATGAATATGCAAATGCATTAAATTTGTTTACAGACTCTTTGGAAATGAAAGAGCGTGACAACACCTGAAACTACAGTCACTACAGAGGGAAGAACCAAAATAACTCCACATCTAGAAGGAGCTAAAATAGCTGATGATCTAGATTCCTCTTTCCTTTCATACACATTCTTAACGCATCAGGGCCACTTATATACCTGCTCCACACTCCATTGTTCCTCACTGTTGCTTCATGTCCTAAAAACAAGCTGTAGCTTTTAATCTTAATAGAAATTTACACACACACCGTCTCATACACCCTCTTCTCCTTTTCCTTCCTTCAACTGGCATCTTGCCGCCTGATCTTAAGTGCATTTGAAAATCCCTTTGACTGTAATCAGTGAGAATGTGTGTGCATGTGGGAGCAATATGATGATGATGGGTGTGATGAATGTCAAATGATTGACGCATGCATATTTAACTCGTTTTCCCTCAATAATTTGCTGGAGTCACCTGTCTCTGAGCATGTGCATGTGTTCAGTTGTGTTTGAAAGCATCAGTGTGATAGGATGGTGCCCTCCTGCAAATTGAACTGTCATATTAAACAACTCATAAGCCTAAGAGTGCATAGTGACTGATAATAATGGCTATTCAAACTAATGAAAAAAATATGCAATATAGCTATTCAAATGACATCTTGAATTTCATATGACTGACTGCAGATTACAGGCAACACATGGATTTGCTCGGTAACAAATCGTCCGTAGTGGCGACATACCCCGCATATGACATTGCTGCCAATTCTTTTTGCAGTGTAAGGAATATTAGTAGTGGAGTCCAGATCAAACGACACTGCTGATTGTCTCTTATCATTTCTATTCCCAGGCGCGCGTTGCCAAAATGTACCACTTAAACAGCCAAAAACGAACGAAGAGTGATGGTAAAATGGAACCGAATGGCAATTAAGTGAAAAGATCAATAGACTCGTGAGTAGTGTGAAGATGCATCAAGGAGGTTTTTACTCACCTTGTCCCGCGCGCCGGGGATCCCCGCTACATTCCACTGCGGTCCGTTGAGCTCGCGCGCTCTCTCTCTCTCTCTTACTCTACTAGAGCGCGAGATTCCGTGGGGCTTCAGGACAGTCCGCTGTCAGGTACGTGCCGGGAATAAATGTCGCACCTTCAGTGGTGCTAAACGGTGATAGAAATCGCCACTGTGCTTCTGTGAGTACCCATGAGTGCCGCTATCCTGTGTAACAGATGTACTGAACCCGCTCCCTCTGCGCGAGCGCGCATCCACACACACACACACACACACACACACACACGTACACAAACAAACAAACTGCAGGCTTCAGCGTGGAAAGGCACGCTGTCCGCGCGATTCTTAAAAACCTATTTATAAGATACGGTGTCTGTGTGGACAACATTGTATTACCATGCGCTAATATTTTATTTTATAATCCGCATTACATTAAAGATGCGAGATGTAAACATTATGTTAATATGAGTTCAACCCTAAAAAGGGCAAGACCATAAAGAGAAATCAGAAAATTAATTTATTGCTATTTTCCATCGTCTTAGGACACAAATAGCCTAATACGATTTCATGATTTTTTTTAACATTAATTTTTTTTTTCGATTTTAATGTTTGTATACCCCAGGATACGTCGCCTCTTTGGGGTATAAATTGATTGAAAAAAGAATGCTTGTTTGGCAATGCGTGTTACAACATTTTAGCCAAATTAAAAAAAAAAAAACATTTATTCTCTCATAACTTGAACTAAACATTCTTTGTAAAATTCTGTTGAACAATAATGCCAATTTATGAAAATAACCTGTATTCGGTATAATATTTAATACGCAAATTTCTAGGGCCTATAAATGATAAATAAGACCAACATTTTGCTGAAAAACTTGTACACAATCTACTTCATGCCTTCTGACTGATAGTTTATAATGTTCTTAGATAGTTAAGTCTTTTTTTGCTCAGAAATCATTAATTAATAATTTTTATAACGTAAATGTACGATAAACATTTACTGGACTGAAGCAACTTGAGTTTACTTGATTATTTATACACCACTTTTTAATGTTAAAAATTAAAACGTATTATTATTATTTTAAAAAAAATTTCATGTTAATTTAAATGCCAAATGTGACACAAACAGGCTTTTGGGGAACACTTATTTGTCCATTTCTCAATAATTCATTGATTTGCAATGAATTGCATATGAGCCATAAAAGCCTGATATATAAATATGATACTTTAAAAACACATATGCATATATTTGCATGTGTGTTTTGTTGAGTATCATATTTCATACACACACACACACACACACACACACATCAGGCTTTTATGGCTCGTATATGCAGTTCATTGCAAATCAATGATAACTGAGAGATGGACATATTTGACATTTACATTAATATGAATAAATGTACAAATAAATCATGAATAAATTAATTTTTTACATTAAAAATGGTGTATGAATAATCAAGTAAACCAAAGTTGCTTCAGTCCAGTAAATGCTAATTTTACATTTACTTCATAAAAATAAAAAAACTGTTCATAGATTGTGTACAACAGGTTTTTCAGCAAAGTTTTGGTCATATTGATAATTTATTATATTATAAGACTATTATATTCATAAATTGGCTTTATACTTATTGTTCAACAGAATTTTACAAATTACACATTTTTTTACACAAAAAATTTGGCTAAAATGTTGTAACATGCATTGCCAAACAAGCATTCTTTTTTCAGTTAATTTATACCCCTAAAGGGGCGACGTATCCTGGGATATACAGTCATGGCCAAAAGTTTTGGCATTGACATAAATTGTGTTTTGCACAAACTTGTGTTTGACGCAGCTGACACAGAACAGCATACGCTGTTTACGTCCAGCGGATATTCTCCAAAATGGCGCTACAGGGTGACGCAGAGGAGACAAATTGTTGAAAAAAGTCGTTTTTTTCTTTTCTTTTGCGCACAAAAAGCATTCTCGTAGCTTCGTAAAATTACAGTTGAACCCCTGATGTCACATGGATTATTTTACCGATCTCCTTGCTACGTTTCTGGACTTGGGAACATTTCAGTTGCGTTGCTGTCTATGCCGGGTCAGACAGCTCTCAGATTCCATCAAAAATATCTTAATTTTTTTTCCAAAAATGAACGAAGGTCTTACGGGTTTGATACGACATGAGTGTGAGTAATTAATGACAGAATTTTTTAAAATTTTTTAAAATCATTTTTTGGATGAACTAACCCTTTAAGCAGGCATGAGAGTATAAAACAAAATACCCTAACAGATGGACTGGCTAAAATGCAGTCAATGAATAAATATGAGTAGAAATGAATATGAAAACAGTGAGTGACAGCCCCGGAGGAGTAGTAATGAGTGTACACTGGCATCTTAACAAGATGGTCCAGAATCATTACTGAATCATCAGAAGCGTGACTAGGATTGATGCACAAACAAACCCTCCACCCCACCCACCTCCCAAAAAGACAACACAACATAGAGTAACACCAAATTTACAGAGAGAGAGAGAAGAGAGAATGAAAAGACTATGTAGTTCTGGTCTAAATAAACTACAGGTGGTTACTGACCTTTATAATAAGGCTCTAGTTGACATAAAAGGCTAGTCAAATATAGATCTGCACTTGTTAATATTCATTGTTAAAATGAGAGCTCCAAACCATTCAATTCAGACTTGTTCATCACATTTAAATAGACATTTATGTCTTGGTTCATGTTATTTTTTTCCCCTTTTTAAATTTCAATGTTTATTTCAAGCAAATACGGAACACATGTAGAAAAGATCACTTTACAATGTATGAATGCATATTTGGAAAATGACTACTTTTATGTGCTATTAAAACTGTGCAAAGAAAACTGTAAATTGCTCCAACATCACTTAAAATGAACAGGACTGTAAAATCCTTATACTATAATGGAAATAAACACTGAATATAATGAACGGAATACATGAAAACATTAAAATCAGTCAAAAATATAAAAATAGCACCATTTGTCCAAGTAAACATGCAGCATCTAATAATACAAGAACATTCATTTTAAGTAGATAAAAATACAGATCTACATTTACAGTACAATTTTGTACAGCACAGACTTATTCTACGAACAAGTCTAAGATGAATTTGTTAAGAATATTACAATGTGTGTTCTAGTTTCTGTTTTTAGCACCTGAGAAAATGTCAGTGGGTGTAAATATGCAACATCAAGGAGAAAATATGAAAGATAATATTGTATACAGTTACTGACTGGACTAATGTACATGTGTTAAAGCAAGTAATGTGTGTGTATATATATATATATATATATATATATATAAAACAATGCATCCAGATTGGCAGGAAGATTAACAGATGTTTGGCAGCTCAACAGACACAAAATAAATAAACAAAAAAACCCAGACCTGATCAATATTTAAAATTTGCTTGTCCCGTTGAGGAAAAGGTGTTGACATCAATCTTTACCTTGATCTCTTGTGCATGATTGCAGTGTCAAACACTATGGTTTAGGTTTTTTCATATTGCAGACGAGTTAGTGATCCTCCATTTACAGTCAACTCTTGTCTTCAAGCTAAAACAAAATTCTGTAACATAGATAGGATTGTGAGAAAAACTCTTACAGATACAGTGCAGAAATCACATCTCTATCCCATGCAATTAATAATTTATTTACATTATCATTATCATTATATGCATTATTGCACCATTTGATACCTTCAGCCTTTTGTATTAATCAGTGCGTGTTAATGTACCTTCTTACTCTTGTAGACAGAGTTTCTCACATTCTTCCTTTTGTAAAAAGTGGTTAGCATTTCCTCCACAGCCGCTGTAGATAAAAGGTCTACAGACGCCCACTTCAGAGTTAAAGTACCAGCGCAGAGTATAGCGGGAACAATTACCCTCTTCCATGGGCAAGATGCAGGAGTCTAAAAGCACACATTAAAAAATAATAAAATGGTTGAATGGTAAAGGATACACACCAATTCTTATTTTGCTCCACAGCAAACACTACAAAAGTTCTATCCTGAATTAATGCAAACTGAACAATATGGCGAAAGTCATCTCTGAAATGCACAAATGCATATTCAACTTTTAAACTTGTCATTATGGCATCTCTCTAAAGTTCAGAGCACCACGGAGATCTGTAGAAATGTCCAGCTATTTTCTGTGGCAGGACAGCTGCTTGCAATCTCATACTAAGAGCTGTCATACAGATGAGTCAGCGGGTTGACAGCATGCAGATGATACACAGAGAAACAACAGGAAGTGAGCACAGCAAAGAACAATAGTTTGCAGCAATTACAGAGTGCAAAATTATGATAATCCATCATCATAGAGTTTTGTTAGGGGTTTGAAGACGGGGACATCAACAAAAGTTTAATACATTCCTACAGACAGCATTTCTAAGCACTTTATTCCCAACAAAGACATGGAAAAGCAGTAAAATGTGGAGAATAAAATAAGCACCATCGACACTGTTATTTCCACAGTAATGGTATAGTCAGGCTCCCCAACATACTGCGTAAAGATGACTGAATGGAGCCTTTAATCTCCATAATGAATAAGAAGTGGTGGCTTACCTTTACCTTTCACCTCAAATTTTGTCCTTTCAGCTTTTAATGAATCAAAAGAGACGGTTTGACCTGCCAAAATATCCATATATTATACTATGTCTACGCAGAAAGCTACAGACAAACTTTTTCTACAGGAAAAAAATTGGCATACCCTGGCTTTTATTGACCGTGGTGTCATAGTCAGCAATCTCCACCACTGGAGCATCATCATCATAGGTCTCTATAGAGTAAATGTGCTCGTAGTCTGGATCGCTTGTGTTCATCACAACACGCAGTTTATGACCTGCAAAAAAACGTGCATGGATGCACAAACAAAGAATGTGAAGGCTATTGGAAATCAGCTTAGAATGCTGGGATATCGTAGTTTGAAAGCAATCGATGTACATGTGCAACTGGATAATGTTAAATACAAGCATGTATTTAACATATCCCACTTATGTTTAAGGCAGAAACATTGTTTCTGTTTAAAAGGGTAGTTTAAAGAGAAAAATTTTAATTCTGTCATCATTTACTCATCCTTGTCTCAAACCTGTATGGTTTACTTCCTTCCATAGAACATGATAATGAGATGTTTTGTAAATGTTGACACTGCTTTTTTTAACAACGCAGAGTGACTACCATTGTGAAAAAGAAGTACACTTTAGCATACTTAAAAAAAAAAAAAAAAGAGTACTTATTACAGAAATAATATACTTAAAAACAATATGCTTAAGTCTGAATTAAGTGCAATGTTCTTTGATACCTAATTGCCTGTGAAAGCCATTTAATGTCATTTCTATTAAAACTCTTTTATGTCATGTATTTAAATATATTGGTAATTACACATTTGCAATGGTGAAGATGCAATTTAGTACATTTAAAACATGAATGCAATACTGAATAACAAACTACAGTAAAAATTTATATGTGCTTTTGTATGTAAGCCAACACATCAAAAAGTGTAATTCTTTAAAGCACAACAAAAAATATGCTATGAATGCTATATGTATGCTACAAGTGCACATTCAATACAATTAAGCACACTTTTCATTTTCACAACGGCAAGAGATAGATAGGTTAGTTGCACTTGGCACATGAGTCATATGGGCTTTTGTGGTATGGAAAAAATCAGTGTGAACATTCTTCAAAACATCTTCTTTTGTGTTCCACGTATGAGTAAAAGTATGACAGAATTTTTATTTTTGGGTGAACTGTTTCTTTAAACTAGCCCTTTCAAAAAAAATAAATAAATAGAGGACAGAGTGACAAGAGTTTTCAGTTTAGAAGAGAGGAGGATAAACAGAGAATAAAGGATGAGCTGAGGATAGGACTCACCCTCCTCGTCCCCTCGGATTAGTGAGCGCTCTGGGGACGTGGAGGATCTTCGGTAAGCCTGCACTTGTACAGGTTTCTCAACTTCCTGAACACCTGAGAACACGCCCATAACGAATCACACAAACGTAAGATAGTAAAACCCATCAGTGAACATACTCACACAAGCATCCATGCGTGTAAAGATGTACCCAAAGTTCATGCACTACATCAACAATTTAGCATGCACAAAACCCAGAAATTCTCACGAACATACTCAACAACAAGGTTTATACAGACTGAGATCACACAAGCCTACTGTTAGTGTATTGTGCGCACATGAGTTGCTGATGCAATGATAGGAAAATGTCTACTGGCTATATAAGTCACAACTTACCTCCACAAGCTTAGGGAAAAAGAGAGAAAGAGAGACAATTTAATTGATACAAGAGAAATTAAAATCAACATCAATCAGCAT